AATTTAGATTGACTGAATAAAACGTATAAAACCAAGTTTATAGCGCGGCGCGATAATTTGGAATAATTTGGAATACAAATGCATTTTATATCGGATATCTCTCTTGGACGGAAAGAAAAATATAATCGCGTAACAACACGAAAATTTTGCAAGTTTCGCAAAGAGAAAAAGGAATGGAAGAAAAGCGACGGATGTTTGTCGCGTGTCTACGACCGATCGGCCATCTTTGGAAACATTATAGAATGAAAAGCAGGCATCCAGTGTTAAAAAGAGGGAGAAGTGCGGAGAAATAACGAGAGAAAGAGAGCGGTGGGTGGGTAGCTCGGTTTTAATCCTTCTTGTTTGTCTTTGCATTAATTATCCAGAATTAAGAACGCTGCTCGGCCGCGGCGCCGCGCGCAGCCGGATTACTGGCTTTATTATTACTTGTTGCAGATTATTAATTACCGAGAATTACGAGCGAAGGAGGCTGGGTGGTGATGGCGGACGACGACGCGGACGGAAGGCGGCGGATGGATGCTGGAAAGAAAGGCGCCCCTCTCAGATTTGTGTTTTCAATTAATTTCCGTAAATTAAGAACGATTGTAAGAAGAGATTAGTGATCGCCGGCCGTTGCTCTGAGAGCAGCCGTAAAGATTCCGTAAAATGAAGAGGGCCGCGCCGCGCGCTCCGGTTTCTCGAATACGGCGACGAGTAATTAAACAACTCGATAAACTACTATAGCAACAGCTGCTAGGCCGATAAGTGAAGAAACAAACAAATAGACGATACCGCGATGTCGCGACTGCATCATTAAGTGGTTCTCGTACGAGGCTGAAAATGGCCAATAACGAGCGGCATCCGGATAGATTATGATGCACTCGAGTTTTCCAATTGAGGCGCAACAGTTTCCATTTTTTATTAATAAAAAGTCCGGCGCGCGGCTGTGTGTGTATCGTTATTATAAAGTTCAAGGCTTATCCGCCTCGCGGTTTTCATCGATTCGAGTTGCCTGAATTATTCTCACGATATCGGTGCTCGGTAGTAGCAAACGCGCGCACTTCGTTTTCGATTATGGGATTAATCGACAAGCAGATTTAATGGAGAGACACACACGCACACACACGTCGTGGGGGAGTGCTACGAGCGCATGCACATACGGAGCGGCGGTAACAACGCGTATATCTCGATGAAAAGTAATGCTAACAATGGGGTCATGCGAGCCTTTATAATATCACGCTGGCGGCCCAATTCCCCATGCAGGATACGGAACGGGAAAAAAAGGCCGAGAGGCCTGCCAGCTGCTGTAAACGATACAATTACCAGATAGATACATGCTCGTGTATTAAGAGAAAGAGAAAAAGAGAGGGAAAAGGAGAAAGGAGACGATCATCATCCACTCGGCGTAGCTGCGCCAAAAGAATCGAGCGATCCCTTTTCGAGACGTTTCGTCCGTCGAATATAATATCGCGATACTTTCCGTGAGCGCAGAGCCACGGAGAGAGCGAGATGGAGAGAAAGAGAGCACAGTCGCGCTCATACGAGGACTTTACCGAGCCCTATTTGTGTATTCGTGCAGTTAACACGAGCGCATAGATATTAAAAGCTTACGTAGCCTATAACCACGCATCGGCGCACGGCACAACCAGGAGCTGGGAGGAGCGAGCAGAGGAAATAAATATTAATAACGGCTTTCTGCTTCCATCTCTCTCTCTCTCTGTGCTCTCGTCTTTCCTCTCCTCACCCCTCTTCCCACGTACTTCTATTCTCTGTCGTACCCTCTTTCTCTCTCTCTCTCTCTCTCTCTCTCTCTCTCTCTCTCTCTCTCTCTTCTCCTTGCCGCGTCTCTCGCTCTCTCACAATATGTCTGTGCATTGTTAGGGCCATTACGGGAGCCAATTAATCTATGCACAATTTTATAATTAAACGGCTAATAGCGCATAGAATTATAGTCCAGGGCCGCGCGCACTCCCACGTACTTCCAGCCGATCGTAGTTAGGCCAGGTACACTAAGCGCCGCGCGCTCGAGAGGAAGAAGGAAGAATGGAGAAAAACCATCGCGCGCACTCTTCTCCCTACGCTTTTTCCTTCCTTCCTCTTTGTCTCCTCGGCGCCGACCTCTTTTCGCGGATTCCCAATTAGAGAGGCTCGATTCCGAATAGGCAGTTTGCGGCGAAACGATCGTACGCTCCGTCCGACCGAGTTAAGCAAATTAATTAATATAATTGACTCGTCTCGTTAGCTATGCGCAACGCGGCCGCATTATTATTTCCTCGCCGATTATCGTAGGGCCCCGCATCGACGTGCATACAGGATACGACGCGCGCAATTATTGCAGTCGATTACTTTTCATTAACAGGAATATCTGTTGGCGTTCTCGATCAGATAACGGCCTTCCTCCGTCTCGGATTCGCAGAGAGTTCGAGCGACGAACATCTTCGCGATGAGAAATAAGCGAGGCATTTAAAAATACACCGCGCGAAGTAACGATCCGCGCATTATGCGCATTATTCGTTATACATCGATACGTGTGTCTTGTCCCGTAATTCCGCACACTAAATTCACGGTTTTGTATTCTCGCATACGTCGTCACCTGTACACTCTGTATTCTTTATTTATTTATTTTTTTTTTCATTATTATCGCCGAAAGCACGAAATACGGTGCGCGTTCGGCGCAATTGGTTCTATATCTCCGTCCGGACGGAACCCAACGCACCCGGCGCCGCGCTGTACACCGCAAGAAAAATCCCCCTGAATTATCGGTGCGGTTCTGGGCGCATGCTGTTGCATCGGTCCGGTAGAAGCGTAGAGCGGGGTCGATGTGCAGTAGTCGTAGGTGTGCAAGTGTGCATGCACGGGCGGCCGCGCGCCTCCCCGCGTGTGGGTGTGTGTTTAGTTCGTCGTAAATGTAGCGCGACTGTGTGTACCCGTTGCTACCGCTACCGTGCATTATCAGAATGTAACGACGTCAGCGGTACACGCGATCGGACCGCACAGGAAGGCCGTGTCGCAGCGTTCTGATCATTCTATTTTTCGAGCGACCACTGTGTCTCGCGCTTTTCTACGATATCCACTCTCGGAGTCATCGACAGACGACGGAGTTGGAGAATTTTCAAGCAGAAGCAAGAACCGAGGTGAACATTTCCACGATTATTAAATTGTGAAATTGAATACGGAAATAATCGTGAATTTTTAGGACAAATCGAGAAATCGGAATGAATATTAATGATCTGTCAGAAACGCAATAATTTGCAGAAAGAATTCTAGAAATATCGGAAATAAAATTATCCAAGAGAGATAATAGCTTCTCGTCGCTCTCCAGACCGCAGCACTGTTTATAGCGGAAGACAGAAAGGTAAGATTATCTAATCTGCGAGCAGAGCTAATGCGATATCGAGGAAACTGGCAATTAATCGAGCTACAACTCGGAGACTTCGCATCGCGAGGACAAGCGGCGCGATGAAACCGGGAAAGGCGAGATCCGCACGAGCCGACGGCTCGCAGAGTTCTGTTCTGTGACTGCGACTACGGATTATTTGGATCCCCGCAATCCCTACGAGTTACCTCCTTCTTCCTCTCGCGCTCGCTCTCTCCTTCTGGCTATCTCCGGCTCTTTCACTCCGTCCCTCGGGATATCCCTCGATTCCCTCTCGCTCTGTCCCTCTCATCGTGTCGCGTTGAATCCGTTTCCGTTGTGACTGCCGCTGCGCGTCGCGCGCCGAACAAGTATTGCCCATTTGCCGTGCGATTCACGGCTTACCGCGGAACCGCCGTAACGTCTCGTCCGTTTCGTGACAATTAAGTGCACAGCGCGACGAAATTTTCGGGAGTACATCGATCGAGATTGTAGAATCTATCGCGTGGAGTACGGAGCGCTGACAAATGCGGCGACTCGGATTGACGAACGACATCGCGCGAGAGGACAACACTTTTCCCGACGATCTTAAATCCCCTCGTTCCGTTTACCATTCCGTTTCGTCTGTCGTCTACCTCGTGGGTGGGGTGAGAGAGAGCTTGTACAACCAAGCTCTCTTCCTCTCGCCCGGTGTCCTCTCTTTCTCTCCCTCGCCTGGGACGATTCATTCAGAGAAACTGCCGTGAAAGGGACACCTGTTGGCGCGGGAATTCAGTGACAATCCTAGAAACGAGGAGCACGTGCCGCTGCCACTGCTCGGATATTTCAATTCTCTCGCGTTGAACGAGGCGCTAAGCGATTGTTCTTTGCGAATATTATTTTGCAAGAAGATGCGATACGTTTGTCGCTCCGAACTCAACCTTCCTGAATACAAATAAAATGATTTTCGAAGCAGCGTTCATCTCAGAGCGCAATCTCGCGAAGAATTTTCAATGTATGAGAACCGTTCGTGAATTGTCTATACGAAAGAGCCTAAGGGCCACCGGGAGCTGTTTTCGAAGATGATCAAGTCTTAAAAAGCAGTAGGTGGTGCACAATTAAAGTACTTTTTGGCCGACTGGTAGCGTGAAAGCCGAGCCAAGGTACGGGCGAAGATAAAGTGCTGCCCAGCGGCGACACCGTGCGTTATTAATGTATGCGAGGCTCGTAGCTTCCGTTTCGTAGTAGCCGAGTCCACGAAGGCGCGTCGAGATGCTCAGTACGCGATCCTTATTTCCGTGGTGTTCTTATCTCGCAATCAAAACGGACTCGCGTTAACTACTCAATTACAGTCTACTATTTTTCATTACTCGAGATTGCGAATCTTTTCAGAAATGTTCGGAGCATGGCATACGTCGCGAGACAGCGTCATAAAACATCAAGCTGAATCGAAATTAACGAATCAATGATTAAATTGTCGTCTTAATCTTTGCTCTCTCCTGCTCATTTTTTATATCAATGATTAGCTCTGTTATTGTTCAACTCAGAAATTGAAGAAGATATAAATTATATTTGTCGACCTACAGAAACGCCTATTCGTAAATCGCAGCGATCTAAACGAACGAAGGAGAACCAGACAGCTAATAAGAAGAGAATTGTTCCTGCGTTTGCCTGCGTCGTCACGTACCTGGCCGTGGTGCAGTCCCTATAAAGAATGTCGAAGTCCTTGCAGCTGAGCAGCTTGCACCGATTAACGCCGGGCTGGATGGCTCCGAGGCCGCGCAGGATCCTAACTTGCTCGACGTTACACACCAACGGCACGATATCCAGGCGCTTGAGCTTCGTATAGACTGTGTGAAGGCCGCCCACGAGGTGCTTGAGAAAGAGCTCGAAGGCCTGCGGCAGGCAGAGCATCGTGTCGCCGGCGATGATGAACGCCGCGACTTTCTGGCCGCGATAGTCGACCAGCTTGCACTCGTTGGCGGTGGGATCGCTGGTGCTGATCGGCGGCGGACTGTTGTACGATCGCGGCGGCAGAACGGCGTGATGGGCTGCCATAAGCTCGAGCGGCGAGCCATGGTGTCCGCTCAGCATGCCACCGAGCTGGCCCAAGAGTCCCAGTCCCGGCGGCGGTAATCCTGGCATACGAGGCACCATCCCCGGCGGCGCCCCGGGTCCTCCGCCGGCCGACAACGGCGGTGGACTCAGAGGAAGGCCCTGGGGCGGTGAACCTCTCGTAGGCGATCCCGGTGTCGGCACGCCGCGATGCTGCTGTTGCTGATGATCGCGGATCTGATCGCGCCCGTGCGATTGTTGATGAGACGGCGGCGGTTGATGCTGGCTGCCGTGGAGCTGCTGCTGCTGCTGATTCTGCTGTGTCGACGGGCTGTGCGGGTGTTTCGGACTGCCGGTTACGGGACTGGCACGGCTGCTGTGGTCGGAAGAGCTGTCCATCGCTCCGTGGTCCATGGAGGGTCGGAAACGCGCGTCCCTGTACTTCCTGCGACTCGTAGAGACGACGTGACACTCCGGCGCGTCCTTGTCGTCCGGCGATGCGGCTCCGTGCCTCTTGACGTTTACGTCAGCCCGTGCCACTGCGTTCGCCCGCTGGCGAATATCGGTGAGACTCGTGCGAACGAGCGTGAATCCTTTTCAATGCATGTTAAAGCCGCTTCTTCCACGATCCTCTTCGCGAACTTTCGCAGACGCTCTGATAAGTGACGTATATTTGTAATCGCGATACACGACACGAAATTTACGTTCAACTAGCGTTCTTCAAACGTGTCGCTTATCACTGCAAACAGAGAGATGACGCGTCTCAGCACACAGTCACACGATTTTTTCAGTCCTCACACGCGCACGAATTTCCGTGTCCATAACAAACTTACAGTCCACAATTGATGGCGTATCTTATTTTCACCGATCCATCGCGAAGACTTTTAACTCGACCGCGGTCGCTCGTAACGATGACGATAACGAGAACGACAACCACCGAGACGGCGACAGTCGCTGCGCAGACGATGACGACGACGACGACGACAACGACGATGATCGTCGTACTGAGTTTGTACCGACCTGCTCACTGGTTCACGACGACGGTGTCTTCATGTCACAACAAAACGGAGAACAGACCGCGACAACTACACCGGGCTCTGGCCGAGAAAGACGCGTGAGACGCGAACGTGAACCGTAACGTGTGTACGAGATACGACGTGTGACGATATCAATGACGAGATGACAGCGAGGGCGACGACGACGACGACGGCGGCGACGATGACGACGGAGACGGCTGCCACGGTAACTCGCAGGGACGCGCGTCGCTCGTTCTCAAAGTAGCAAACGCTCTCTCGGTCGAGTCGGGAGTATTTCCCTACCCAGTCACAGATGTAATAAATAAAAACATCAGTGGGAGCCCGACAAACGGGGAGGATGGGCGTTCTGTGCGCGCAACCGACTATCCGGTTGGCGGAGCCACCAGGGCGGCTGTTCTCGCTATTGGACGGCAGGCTCGCACTGTCTACGCCTTTCGAACCTTCCCCCGGGTGGCGGCGGCTCGGCCAACCATCCCCCGCACCCCCCACTATTTGCCAACCTCTGCCACCGACGTGGTAAACGACGCGACTACGCCGACGAGGACGGTTCCGGGGGCTACCAACACACAGGGACAACCAGACGCAGACGCGGCAGAGAGCCTGAGGACAGTACGACTGGAACGTACCGGCGGCGCGAGTGGGGGTTTTCTTCTTTTACCTCTCGTCCGGGTTTGTCTTCTTTCGTTGTGGCTCTTACGCGCGCGTACCACCTCGCCCCACTCCCCGGCCTTTCTATCTTTCACTCTTGTCTCTTATTCGCGTGCTATTCCTCTCTCGGGCGCCTTGATTGTTACGCCTTACGTCTCTCCACTCTTGTTTCTTTTCTTTCCTCCATCCTATCCGCATTTCCTTCGTCGTGCTTCGATCGCGACTTCTCCACTTCTCATTACCATCTCCTTATTGCCTTATTTTTCATTTGTCTGATAATCCTTTCGCTTTAATTTTACCTCTCTCGTATCGTTACGTCGTGTGTCTTCGATTTTTTTTCTCTCTCTTTCTCTCTCTCTCTCTCTCTTCCCTTCACTTTTCTTCCGTTCTCGATCTTCTTCGGGATCATGTGTCATTCCCATTCTTCTTTCGTTCTTTCCTATCTTTCTTTCCGATGCTATTCTCGTCTCTCTCCGCCGTCCCCTCTACACTCGTCGCACTCATCGGGTTCGCTCTCTCTCGCGCGCGACCAGCCCTCTCTGCCTTGCTTCCTCCTTCGTTCGCTCCCGTCCGCTCTACTCTCTCGCTTTATCTCCTTCTTTCGTCATCCCCCTCTGCGTCACGCGCGCACACACACGTACACACCGTTCTGTCTCTTTCTCTCCCTCTGTCTCTCTTTTTCCCACCGTTCTCTGTCCCTACGACGAAGAATGTCGCCAACGTTCGAATCGATCGCTCGCTTTCGCGCGCGCTGCCTCCCTTCTTCACCCTTCTGCCGTCCGCGAGCCCGCTCCTCCTCTTCCTCCTCCATCTTCTCCTGCTTCCCTCCCCCGCCAACCGTCTCCTCCGTTTCAACCTTCTCCGCCACCCTCTCTACTCTTCCCTCAGATCTCCTCTACCATATTCGCCATCAGCATTACACGCGCGCACTTATTTCTTCTGTAGGTAACTCTGCTTTCCTTGCGATCTCTCTCCTGCTCTACCACCCCCTTATGCCGTCGCCCACCCTTAGTCCACCTGCCCCCCTCGCTCCCCTTTACGCCGCGCGCGCTTCCACGTTTCCTCCGCCTCTGCATCCCCACCCGAGCCCGGCACATAGGATAGTCTACGCTCACCGTGGCTCGACACGGTTAGAGTATGGGTGCTTAATATCTTTGTGTTATACCCAAGGCGCCCGTATCCGCCGACAGTTCCTCCTGGAGGTGAACTTTGCCGCGATCGAGTGCCTCGCGATTCGCGAAACCGAGATGAAAATCGTAAGTGCATGGATATACGAATAATTTTGCACGAGCGAATGTAACAAACAATGCAATAATGAATCTTAGGGAAAAAAAAAGAAACAGAAAAAGTGGTACAAACATATTTGTATGTTAAACGATGATAGTATTGTATACAAAACTCCTCTATCTTTGTTACATCAGGAAAGATCATTAACTTGTCCACTTGAATTTTTATTCGCATCTGAAATCGCGCTTCTCGACTCCGTTCGAGCGGAGTGCGAAAAACATCGCGCGGCCGAGAGGATCCGAAAGCCGACCTCTGATTATCTCGTCATAGACGCTTCGTAGCTGCTAGCAATAAGGGGAAGAGGAGAAAGGGGGGAGATGAAGAATCTAGCGTTCTCTCCTCTTTTTTGGCCAGTCAACCCCTCATCGTCCCTCATCGGCCTGGTGACCCAGATTCGCTAGGAAGACCCTTCGCGATGCAAGTATCGCCGTATGTGTTTATACCGATACGTCGTGCGGCCACACGCATACGCCCGCAACCACACACGGGCGTATTCGTGCCCGCATACAGATTCTACGGTCCGTAGACGCGTTTACTCGAAACAGCTGATGCCGCCATCTCACAGATCCCCTAAACGAAGCGAGACCCCCCCCCCCCCTCGAGCCTATCCTTCATTGAATGTGGTCGTACAAACGGAATGCTCGATTGCCCCGATTCGTGTATTTGCAAATCTAACCCGCGTGCCGACGCAAATTCCATGCTCAACGCTGTCGTATGTCATTCGCTTGTCATACGTTAATTGATACTCTGCGTTTTCCACGAGAATCCTAATTAATTACACCGCCAAATGCTTGATATCTCGAAAAAAAAAATATATATATATATATTATAAAGAATATTATATCATTAAATAAAATAAATTGATTGGCTATTAGCAGCCTGAAAAATTTGTATACGAAACATTGCGAGAATGATACAGTGAATCAATCGAAACCGTATAATAAACAGCGTGTGTACTGTCAATGTGACTAGAGATTCGTGCAACTTGTTCAGAATGAAATTAAGAATTGTCTCTCGTCTTACGAAAGAACGATCGATCACGAGATCGATGTGCGTGGTCCGGACGAGGCGAGGACGATCGGTAGGGGACCGATGTTTGCCGCGATCCAAACCACGTCCAATTAGTGGAATTAATACCGGCTGGGCTTTGGGGGAGCTAATGCCTCTGTGTGTGCATACCTATGGGTACGCGCGCCGATGACTGCACTTTCCTTCGTGCGTAATGAAGGACAATCCCGTCGTCGGGCCTATACCTCGATGCACTCGCTCGTGGAAGCGCGATCACACCGCCTCTTCTTGTTCTGCGGTCACCGATGAAATTCCGTAACTCTACAGACTATGCGACGATGCTCCACTGAATCGTTAAGAAACTTGGCTGGCTAATTTCACCCGGCTACCGCCCGAAAGGTTTGCGGGCATTATCCATTTTGAAAAATGAGTTATCAAGTTAATTAATGTTATTAAATTCCAAAACGTTACACCGCGGGCCGTAATTACAATAATAGCGGATGCTAATCGTTATATTCTATTATTTTATTGTTTAATATTTTTCTCGAAACGATCGAGAGTATCAGTGTAGCCCTAATTTAAATAAACAATTTATCGAGTTAACATCGACACGTGAAAAATTTAATAGCGATGGATTTTAATTCATTCTTTAGAGCGTTTCAGGCTCTTGACTACCGGGAATATTTTTTTTCGGATAATACGCTCGATAGCACGCATATTGCTTCTTTGCTCTCGCTTTATCTCTCCCTCTTTCTCCGTTTTTCGAAAGCGCACCGATATCGCTCCTCTTGCTCGCGTTTGGCGCGAGCTTTGGCACGACGGGGAACGAACGCCGGGCATTTTCAGACAGGCCACCGTGTGATACGCATTGTTCGTCCTGGACGTCGCCGCCGTCGCCACCGTAGTCCCTGTTACCGCCCGTTGCCCACCCCGCTACAGATACGCGCTTAGCGCAACACGGTGTGTTTGCATCGTGCATAGCTGTTATGTAACCCTCGTCATTGTTTGCGCATCGTCGTTACACGCCTGTATGGAGAAAGGGAGGGTGGAGGGTGGTTTCGCCGCCGCTGCTGCAAACGAAAGGCGGATGGAGAAAAAAAAAGAAGCGCGCACGCGGACGGATTTTTGCTCGTCCCGCATATAGGATACCGTGCGCATCTAGGCGCAGCTGAGCGGACTCGCGTCGAAAGGACTGCATCAAGAACAAGCCCGATTGCTCTTTTCGATGTTCATGCCGTGCGCGTTCACCGTATTCCCTCTCTTACGCTACGCGTTTCATCGTTGGATAACTCCCGCGGCGGATGAATATCGATCGGCACGAAGCCATCGCTGCAATATATCGCGCAAATGCCAATTCTACCGTTTTAATTTTGCATCGGTATGCGGCCATTGGAATCACAATCGCAGAAATCAATCGGTACGCCGTAGTCAAATTTGTCCGTTCGCCAGGCGAGAACAACAAGCGGGCGATATGCAAACGACCGAGTGTCGGCGAAGAGAGACAGAGAGCGAGAGCAAACGAAAGAGAGAGAGAGAGGGGCCGAGCAAGCGAGACGAAGGGTGGGACGGTTTACATTTTCCAGATTGAAATGTTAACCCAGTAGAAAGGTGGTTGGCGTGCGTGTGCATTACGGCCGATAACCCGATAACGCTGAGCCGCGTCGGTGTATGCATCACGCCCTTACATCCAGCATCCCCGTTCTAGTCCGCAATGAAGCAATCACCGTCGATAAGCATTGTACAGGTCCGGCACAATGGACAAGACTTTCTAGCCGCCCTGTCTCCCCTGCCCCCTCCTTCGTCCAAGCCGCCGTATCTCTGCCCACCCTGGCATAATCTTCCCTGATCGAACAGCCGTCCGAATTAAACAGAGGCGCACTCTTAATTTCCTTTCCGTCGCTGCTTCACCAAATTCCTCTCTAATCGAAACGCGACGCTCCACTTGAAGCGATGCTAAATCATACGCACGATACTTTTATTCAATGTAAGAGTGGATAATTTTTACAAATATAACTTTAAACTTGTTTTTTTTTTATTTTTAGAACATTGCGGAGACACTCTTCTGCACTGAAAACATCGAATCGGAACACGACGAGATTAAACGCGAAAGTTGTTGAAGAGGCCTATCTTTTATGATCGCTTCATCTGATGCGCTATATAAGTAGTGGCCTATTTGCAAGCCTCCCCTAGTAGTTAAGATTAAAAAATCAATCGCGGATAAAGTCGTCAAGAGGATAATGTGAAATTTAATTGCATCGGTTCGATGCAATAAAATATGTAGAAAACCACGATCGAAAGTGTTTCTCGCAGACAAGTCGATGAAAACAAAAA